AACGCCACACAACAGTGGGGCAGTTCGTGACTCAGAGCAACCAAAGCTAACAGTGGTTTTCAGCGTGTGGTAAGGCGTTGGCTGCCACGTGTGATAAACAAAATAACCACTGAAATAAGTATTTCAATTGTGCAAAGCATTACAGAGGTGACAACTTTTTAAAAAAATCCAGTAGAGTACTTTTGTTGAGTTCAGTTCAGTTGTATTTAAATTGTAAGCACAATTAACTTACATTTGATAATTTGGAATTTTTTCATTCTAAAAAAATTTGCTTTGGTAAATTTCTGCTTCACTTTTGTGTTGTGCTTTTGTGTTTTGTATGTAATACTTTTCCAATGAATGGTTCAGGTTTTTTTTCTTTGATATATATTTAAGCATTGAACCATTTAATATTACACATGGGCATAATGTTGTGGTGATTTACAAGAATTTTACAAACAGTCTTTGCGATGAAAAGTTGTGCTTCATTTTTTGACCAACACTTGGGCCTACCTACTGCGCTACTCTATTTCAATGTTGGCCATTGGTCAAACCAAAAGTAGATTATCTATGAGCCATTTGGAGCAGAATGGAGAGATGAGACGCTCTCCATGTCTCTATGATGGGCTTTTTACAATCACGGTTTCATCACACAGTATGTTTGTCCTGCCCTCGTAGTCTTGGTAATGGACAGTGTGCTTGGCTATGTATAGCCTCTCACTGAGGGCCACGCTTAATGTGGAGCGTCTACTCTGATTAGACTGTACGCTCCCTGTGGTATCTCTAACAAGTAGCCATGCTTATTTTTTGCATTCGTCTCTTCATCCTGTCCTCTCTTTCCATTTCTGTACGCGCCATCACTCTCCCACCCCCTCCCCATTACCCGTTTACTCTCTCTTGCTCTCTCATCTCATTCTCACTATACCCATCTGCCTGGATTCACTCAGGAAGCTGGCCCAGTTAACCTGCTTGAACAGCCATCTGAGCAGCCACAACCAGTCCAGTGTGGCAGGGCTTCCATGAATCGGAACGCCAACTCCAGGATGCTTCCACTCACTGCCTTCCCGGTCCCAGTTACATTCCAAGCTTTTGTTGGGGACTCGACAATTTTATGCAGGCATGCTCTCATGTCCATCCGCACGCGCGCGCACACACACACACATACACACACACACACACGAACACACACACACACACACATAAGTCCTTACCTGACTTAACCCTCGTAACACAAGAGAGCCTTAAAAAATTAAGGACATTCATCTTCATCGGTGTGACCATGGTAGCCATAGTGTTCAAGTTCAAGGTCCTTTGTGTGGGCTTGGCTTGCATTGGCTGCCACGTAACGTGAAACCTGCCTCCTCCTCACTTCCATCCTTCTCTCTCACCAACAATGTACCCAAAGGGCCAGTCCCAGTCACCAGGTTTGCTTTGAGTTGTTTGTTGTATAATTGTAAGGTAGAGTGACTGAATGATGTTTTTGCACCACACTTTCACAAGTAAAAGCATATTAATCTAGCTCTCGGTCAAGATTTTTCAACCTGCCCATGAGCTTTATGTTAACTGTTCTGTTGAGGGTGGTGCGGGTACCCGCAGCGGCTCCTCTCTCTCCTGTGGTTGCACTGTGGTTGAGAGGAAAGAAATTTCATCTGTGCTGTATGTTGCACATAGAGCATATTTGACAATAAAGTTGACTTGACTTGACTTCTTTCATGTTCACCTCATTTCATTGCCTACCCGATTGCCACCTTTCACACATCTTCCATCCATCTTTTCCTCTCCCCTGAGCGTATGCCTTTTACTTTGCCTTTCAACTCTTAAATGTTCCTTTTTGCTTGGGTACCTGTATTGAAGAGGTAACTTTTGTTAGAAAATGGAGAGAAAGGAGAAAATGCGTCTTTGGGTTGGACACGCTCCAAAGTGCATTGAAAAGAGGTTTTGTTGAGTGGAGTCAATTTTATTTCGTGGTTGCATACAATAAAATCATCTGGATCCTGATATACTTTTAAAGTACACAAAATGCAGATGAGTGGTTGCACACACACACAGATGGGTAGTCTACTGTTTCTGGATTGTATTTCATGTAACCCTTGATGAAATAAAATTAAGAAAATGCAGCACGCCATTTTCGGCCCAGTGGGCCAGTGGTTCGTGCGTCGACCTCACAACGCGGAGGTACCGGGTTCAATTCCAGCTCCTGCCTCCCTGTGTGGAATTTGCATGTTCTCCCCGTGCTTGCGTGGGTTTTCTCCGGGTACACCGGTTTCCTCCCACATTCCAAAAACATGCATGGCAGACTGATTGAACACTCCAAATTGTCCCTCGGTGTGAGTGTGAGTGCGGATGCTTGTTCGTCTGTGAGTGCCACTTTCTCTTTGTTGCAAACAAAATATTGTGTTGTGGAAACTGGAGTATGCACAGAAAAATGACTGTGGTGTTTAATTGATAATGTATACAGGTGAGAGGAATTTGGTTTTCCAAACAAACTATTCAGTTGTGGAACGATGTCAAATTAAGATGTCGCAAGCATTTCACGTCCAGGCGCAATCAATTCAATGCCATAGTTTAGTTTTCTTTCGTGAAAATAAACATCCTGTTCGATTAAAAACATCATGTTTCCTTCTTGTGGTTATTTGTGCTGGTATTTTCAGTATTTTGAGGATGTGACTGGCTGGCTGCTTCAACAAAGAGGCACCAGATCAATGCACAATGGGGGCACTTTGCCTTGGATGTTGTTTGAATGTTTTTTAGGTGCAGCACAGTGCCGGTGGGCGTCTTTCCTCCGTTGTCTTATTCATATAAGGCCTCTTTTTGCAGCATCGACCTGGGGAGCTACTGGAGGTCTTTTTGTATCGATGCAGGAAATCTTGGCATTCTTTCTTTCTTTAATTGGTGCAAAACTGGTTCTTGTTGCTGGTTTTCTGCTTTTTGTGGGTGGTCAGGTACATGAAGTTTATATTGCCTTTGGTAAAACTTGCACTTTCATCGTGCGTTGTTTGTAATCAACACATTGGTCGTGATTGTTTATATTCTGTAATGATACAATGTTATTTCTCACTATTCACAGGGTTTCCTTTTTTGTCTTGAATTTGTAATATGAATTTTCATGTGATGACATGATTTGGATTGGAAGCAGAATTTTGATTTGAAAACAAAATCCTATTCATCCATCCATCTTCTATCGAGCTACGCGACTATTCCCTGCGTGCATTTACTTACGTAGCCACAGCTGTACAGTAGCGCGTGCACGCGAAGGATGAACAATGGAGAGCAGCAATAACACTAGTGCCTATCTGTTAACGTACCATCCGAGTAAATTCACATCTTACTTTGATGAAAAGGAGATACAGATACAAACTGGACAAATTGGATATTACAAATCGATCAAGCAGTACATTGAAGAAGCCACACACAGCAAATCGTGTCTAAATCCACTGTAGATGGATCTCAGAGTCAAAGGAGTAAAAGAGAAGGCGCTATAAATGAAATAAAAGGATGAGGAGACAAATAGGAGCAAAAAACAAAGGCTCTCCAGAAGGTATGTTGGCTCTGCTTGACCCTGTACAGGGATATGGTGGGGGGTCGGGCCTTCTGGGATGTAACGGGTTTGTTATCAGCTTATCTTCACATGGGGTAGGTGGAATTGAACTTGAACTGGTCACCAGCCAATCGCAGGGCCCACATAGACAAGCAACCATTCACGCACTCATTCACTCTGAATGACACGGTACCCAAGAAAACACAAAATAATGGGGAGAACATACATTTTGCCTCTTGTCGTGGTCATACTTGTCAAACGTGTCTTGTCCCCTCCCGTTTAATTCAAGACGCAGACATTCTTACTGAGTGGACAGGATGTGAACTCTCTCGGATTTCTGCCTGTCTGGCCTGAAAGAAAATGATGGCGGCACAAGAGACACACAGTCATGTTGAGGGCCCAGTAAAGCCAAAAGTCGGTTGGACTTTGCAAGGGAAGCTTTGTTTCCGCTGTCTGACGAACGTGAGAAGACTACTGTATGTAAAAAAAACAACAGTGACAGCCTTAGCTCAGGGTTTCATGCAATGTGTCTAGACATTTAAATCCCCAACAGAGAATAGGGTGCCTTGAGGCAGCAAAGGCGCAAGGATCGGAGAGCATTGTGAGCACATGTCTCTGACGCATCCTTGCTTGAACTGTGCTGATTTCATTGCAGATCACACAGATAGGATATTGAAATGGAAGAGGGTTGTGGTATGCGTTAACTGCAGTTTAACATACAATATATCAATCCTATTAAAGTTAAGTAGGAGTGGGTGGATGATTCTGTTTTCCTTTTGTGATTCAAGCTCATTTGCTGCATCGAGGCATTGTTTTGAATCAATAGCGTGCACAGAGAGCAAGAATGCTTGGATGTGTCAGGCAGCATGTTAATTCAATCCCTTTATTTTTATTCCCAGGGACCTTTTTTGTTTACAATTCCTGCCTAAATGATTCAATAGCTGAGCATGTGGAAAACTACTTTCCCAAGTAGAAAAAAAACAAAAAAGCCTGCTAGCCATGTGGCAAATGTATACTTATCTCTTCAGTAGGGAAGGCCATGTATATGCGAGTTAAGTAAGTCCCAAACACGGTACCATGACAGACTTGTAGCGTGTTCTTGGGTTGCCCACAACTGACATGTTTTTACAATGCTTACTCTGTTATAAGGAGAATGTGCATTGGCAATGAAAGAATTCTGAAGGGTCTTATTCTTGTGAAAGCTTGACCTAAATAATCAGAGATGGATTTGAGCCACTGCGATTGGCTAGCAACCGGTTCAGGTGTCCCCTGCCTATTGCCCGAAGACAGCCGGGATGGGCTCCAGCATCCCCCGCAACCTTGGTGAGCATAAAGCAGATCGGAAAATGGATAGGTGGATGGATTTGAGCCAAATCTGACATTGCGATAACGTCACCCCAAGATGTGCGGCTGTATGCATGTGTCATTATTCACCGGCTGATTAAAGAAAGCATATCTTTCATGTTCCACCTCTCTTCTACAGTAAACTTTGATGACTGCATGGGGAACAAAGCGGTGGTTTTCAAGAGCAGCGATCCCAACTTCAGTGTGCGCACAGATGGGTCCATCTTTGCTCAGGCAGAGGGAGCTTCCTTGGCTGAGCCAATCCAGTTTAAACTAACAGCAAGCGGTCCACATTCTCACCTCTGGAAGACTGTGATCCAGCTGGCACTGATAGACCCCCCTGCACCTCAACAAAATGAGCATGAGGTAAGTTAAAATAAGACAAACACACCTCACTTCAATTTTTAATTATCAACCAGTGATTTGACCTCATATTAGATTCCTACCAGCGGTGGCGTTCACAGCCATGAATCAGGTCAAAACTCCTTGGGGTTTTAGCAAGCCAGAGAGACTCGAAAGAAAGAAGTGGAGTAGCACTTGGGTAAAAGTAATAGAATAATGCTACCACAAGGGGAGAGTATGATTGCCCTTAGCCATAAGCTGTTATTGGAAATCCTCCGATACCTTGGATACCCCACAAGCACCTGACAGGTCCTCTTCTAATCAACTGTTTTCAGAGGACAGACAACGAGTGTCGCCAAGCTTCCAGTGCCCCAAAAGCGGCAGCTTCAAATTTCAACTCAGGGGCTGTTTAAATGAAGAAATTACTGCTTAATTTGTTAACTGGCTGTTTTTGCCGCGTAACTGAGGGTCAGACACAGAGGCCCTAACTGTAGGATTTCTCTAAACGTTTATCCTGTGGTATGGCATCGACTTTGCATTGCTTTTAAATTGCCCACTTTGAAAGCACTAGCACTGACAACAAACCCTAATTATAGTCTTTCGACATTATATGAACAGACATTTTTTCATTCATTCAAAACTATATGAAAGAACACAGCGAACTACTGAAAATGGACCCCCCGGGAATAATGAATATGCCTTATAATTTAACAGAACCAATTTAAAATTATGATCCTACACATGCCGTTAACTTCATTGCTACTTGCAAATGTGCATGATCAAAAGAGGACACGCTTGATTGCTGGTTTCATCCAGGAGCTGCCGGCTAATTATTAGCTGCTAACCTGCTAATATTTACATGGGCAGGCTGTGCAAATTCTTCGACGTCATCACTTGGGTACTGCTTGTTCAAATGAATCAACAGGTTTGTTGCATTGCCTTGTTTTGGATGACATACAGTCCCTTGCTCTACGGCATCCTCCCTGTAGTTCTGGAGATACCGCAACACGTGATGGGAAGGAACTTCACTTGTCAAAAATAGCTTAGGCTTTGGAAGACTATGGTGAGTCATGGCTGCCCGTCAGGTGTGCGTATAGTTGTACGTTTCGTCAATTTGTTACAATTACTTTCTGTTTACTGCTTCTTCTTTCACATATTGGCGGATTTTGTTTACTTCAATTTTGCAAACTAAAGTTAGAAGGAAAAGCTGGACTCTGATTGGCTAGTGGCGCATATTTCCGCCGCGTCTGATGGAGTAAATATGCTCAAAGCTCATAGGTGGTCATGTAAGATCACAATTTGACACTCAGCATTAAAAAAAAAAAAAAAAAACAACAACAACAACAACAAAAACCACTGCTATAAGAGCACGAAGCACCCGTGTGGTCTATTTAATACTGATTAACTTGTGAAAAATCGGTATGTTTTTGCCCTGTTACGTCAAACATTCGACTTGTTGACTACAGATGTGCGGGAAAACAATGGGGGGGGGGGGCAGTAATGCTCGGGCTTGGTTAGTGGGATTTTTCCAAGGTCATTAACTTTGAATTAGGGATTTGACGGCTCATTCTACATTATCGAAAGTAGTAAAATTTCTTATTCTTGGCCCTGAAAAAGGGGAAAATAGGTCATTTACTTTTCAAACAGACACAAAGGGAAGCATGTTGGGCTAACGGCCAATTAGTGGAAGTGAACATTCCTTCCGAATCAACTAACGTAACATTCCTGAGGAGAATGTTAGGTGAGCGAGTGAGTCGTGGATCAGACATGATTCACTTCAAAACCAACATGCACAATATGCAGGACCATCAGTCGCAGAAAGCAAAGCGCAAGAAACAACAGAAAAATATACGTATGTTGTACTTTGTTGAATAATAACTTCCAGATGTCGAGGGCCTGGGTGATATCAAAGCGTGCAGAATTTTTGGGAAGCAGTGGTGAGGAGGGGATGAGCTGGGCCCCTCGCCAGCTGGCTGAGGTTGAAGGTACCATTGCTGCAGGGCCTGAAACCATGCCACACTCTGTAGCTTATGTTCGATTTAGCAAACGAGCATAAGAGTGCGTTGTGAGATTTTCTGTTTGGGGGGTCTGGAAGTGCGCAATGATTTCAAAATTGTTTTACCAAGAAAGACTGTATCCAAACGCATTTTTTATTATCGCTCACAGAATCTATGTGTTGATACGCCATGACAGCTAATGCGCGCGGCTGAATTTGCCTGCAAGAAGGCAGAGCTGTGACGTAGAAGCGTTGAAAGCCATCTTGGCCCAGCCGTCTCCCCAATTTAACCCGTCGTTTTCTTGGTCGGATTCTGATGAAATTGAAGCACTCTCAAAATTTTCCAGACTCAATACTGACGGAAGCTTTGTCCATCTGTCACTGATGTCGCCCGTTTCAATTATTCTTAGTCTCACATCACCATATCCGCAAAGGTTTCTGGTGAAATAGATCATCTGCAAAAATGTGTTCAATGTGTTAACAGGTCTAGTTGTAGATACATTTAGACAAGTTCATGTATGCTTTAAATGAAGGTTCATGTTTTGATCATGTTTAGGAAATCCCTCAGTGCACGTCACCGGTTTTTAGATTCTTCATTAGCAGATTTAAAAATAGTCTGAAAGAGTAATACACTGATTTAAAGCAACCACACGGCTTATTGATTTACGGCTTCCAAACTGCTTGAGAAACTGAAGCATTCCTCAAGCAATTTGCACTTCTGATCAGTGGAGGTCGAATTCAATTGTCGTTGATTCAATTCGATCACACTCCATAATCAGAAGGTTGCATGTGAAAAAGTGACACATTCGCCCCTGTCAAGTCCAACGAATGTCTGAGGCTGTCTCTAGAAAAACTCTTGAGAGCTGACATCAGTTTTGCTCGATGCTTGTGCAGGCATATGTTTCTTTGATCAGTGGGAGTGCATACTGTATGAGCAACAAGGTTTGATCAGTATTTACCCTAATGAACAGTAAGACCTCGCAAGCCTTATGCAGCCCTAATGGGGACAATACAAATCTGTTTATCTCGAGTTTCTATCTCTATCCCTTTTTTCGGTATCTCTCTGATGAGCTCACTTGTACCTCTCTGCACATGTAAAAAAGAAGGAATGGAGAGCGTTACTTATTTACGGAAAGAAGAAGGGATGGGGGGTCAACTACTAACGCCTGACAACTCTCTCTTCATATCTAGATTCCCATTCCCCAAAAAGTATCTTTTCTATGCATCTTTATGCTGTACCATTTCTGACAACACCAGTGCCATATGAGGCAACATCCCCAGCAAACTTCGATCCCCCTGAAGAAAAAGAATGCATTTGTACAGACCTGGCTTGCGTCGGTCAGATTGTGGTCTGCTGACAAAGCCTGAAAGTAAACGATTGTGTGCATGTTTGAGCACACTTGTCAAACACTAGACAAGGTGTTTAAAATGTCCATGTGTGTGTTTGGTTGGCCAGGTTCTATTTTATGTAAAAACAGTGTGGCGGTGATGTTGCATTTTGGACATGAGTGAAAGGAAACTAAATTCATGTACTTGTTTAAAAGGGACTTCTGGAAAATGTACTTTTTAATTTATTGCATCTGGAGTACTTGTCCTTGCATAAAGCGAGAAATTAAACAACTAAGTAAATATTTTGTTAGCTGTCTCTATCCATAAATGTGTTTGCGAGTGAGCCGTTGACGAGTTTTGACGGCTCCAAGTTTCTGCCATGCAGCATCTGGGAAGGCCAAAATGGAAAAGCAATTATGGTCGTGATATATTCCTGACTTTCATCTATTTTGGGTGGGTCTGGAATGTATGCCTCACAATAAACAGAGATTTGCTGTAGCATAAAATTAAAATGTAATGTGTTTAAATTGAAATTGACATCGCAGCCTGAGGACCCCCAGGCTTTTTTTTTTTTTTTTTTTTTTTGTAGTCAAGATTTTGCCTGTGGGCAGGGTTCAATTCCGGCTCCAGCCTTCCTCTGCAGAGTTTGCATGTTCTCACCGGTGCCTGTGTGGGTTTTTTCCGGGTACTCCCTGTTTCCTCTCACATTCTAAAAACATGCATGGCAGACTAATGAAACACTCTAAAATGTCCCTAGGTGTTAGTGAGAGCGTGAATGGTTGCTCATCTATGTGAACCCTGCGATTGGCTGGCAACCAGTTCAGGGTGTCCCCCGCCTACTGCCCGAAGACAGCTGGGATAGGCTCCAGCACGCCCTGCGACCCTCGTGAGAATAAGCAGATCAGCAAATGGATGCATGTATGAATTTTGCCTGTAAATATTTTTGGAATCATTGAATGGCCTCTTTGCTTTTCAACACTTCTCTCAAAGGGAAAATCAAATGCTGCTGAAAGTAAACATCACCTTCATCCAAGCCCCTTTGCACCACACCTCAAACCACCCCCTCAGACTAATACAGACCATATGGATGCTTGCTTGAGACATTTGAAGCGGTCTTAAAAGCTTTTCTCTTCAGTGTCTTTCAAATGAAGTACATCTAAAAAGTGCTGTTTCTGCTGGCAGATACAAGACAAAGCTTTGAGGGACCTTGACCAAGCAAGAAAAAAAATACAGAGCCAAGGAGAAAGCACTTCTTGTTTGCTCCATTTGTCTAAATGCTTTTTTTTTTTTTACTCTCAAGCATTATCATTTGCAAAAGTATCTTAAGAGAACATATTGCACACGAGTAATCTACAGAGAAGAAGTAGACGCAAGAAACCACTTCTCTCTTTATCTATAAATGTATAGTTATTGAAGGTTTTTTTTTTTTTAAATCTTTCAAATTCACAACAAAAGATTTGCTGCTACTTTGACAGAAACACCCACACACTCAGATATGCTCCATTGTGTACTTTCCTGCTCCTGCTGAATGCTGTATAATGGAAATGCATTCTGCTCGTGATCATCTGGGAGGACAATGCGAAGTGTGTTCTCTCTGAGGCACCTTAGTGCACGTGCTTCGAACTTAGGTCGTCGCATTCTATTAGTTCACCACCAGATAGGAAGTGCATATTCCACACTGTACAATGGTTCGAACCAGGCCCCCCCAAAAATTGGGGCTGAAGACCTGTCGCTGTCTATGTAAAGGATGTTTGACGATATGACGGCGGACTGGCGTCTGTTCATAAAAAAAAAAAAAAAAAAAAACTCTACAGTCTGACTGTTAAAAAGTTTAAGATTTGATTAGCTAATATAAAACGAGAGGTGAGCCTTTCCTGTTAAATATGCGGCTGCGCTTTGTTGAAAGCAGATCTGAAGTCAGCAAATAAAAGTCAAGTTAAAGCCAAATGCATCTAAAATGAAGGCGTAATCATTCCTCTCCTCTGACATGTCACAATATCAGCGATTTACAAACTTTTACTTGCATATCGCTACAGAGAACAATCATTTGGTCATTAGTGGGGCAAATGTCTGAGGCAAAAAGACTGACTGTTTCCCTCCTGCCACAGCTCGGTGAACCTCTGCTGTTTTTTTACACGTCATTGCACTACCAGCCATACATAGAGCAGTGCTACAGGAATTCTGTTATTGAAACAAGCTGTCAGAGAGAAAAACAATCTTGCTGCAAGAGAAGGGCACGGGACAGCATGTGAGCTTGGGATAGCTCAGGGGAGAGTGATTGAGAGAGAGAGCGAGAGAGCACAAGTGATGCACTGCACAATGACGGCTGTGTCGGTGTTCTTGACATGTTTGTGTTGCCTTGCCGATATCCCTGAGATATGTTGATAAAATAGCTGCACAACACATGCCTAGCATTCGTAATCTGATACAACTTTGGATCATCTTCGATCATGTCGCCCTTGAGCATGTGTTGCATCATTCAGGACTCAAGCCAATAACCCAATACAAAGTGACAATGTACTTGAACATATTGTCACAGAATCCCTGAGCCTTAAGGTTAACAATCAAACCTCTCCAACCATATTATGAATAACTGACATTTGTTTTCTACCCACGGCAGACTTCATAGTTCCTATTTGTTTTTTTATTGCTCCATTTGCATTTGATCTTTTTTTTTTTGCTTGATGGTGCTCGGGTCATTTATGATGTCACAGCCTGGTGAAAGGGACTATAAACCCCACCACAGGCGCTCTCTCTCTCTCTCTCTCTCTCTCTCTCTCTCTCTCTCTCTCTGTCTCTCTCTCTCTCTCTCTCTCTCTTTATTGATAAGCATTTTATTCCTGAAGTGAATAGAAACATTTTAAGGTTAAATTGTCATTTTTCTAGTCTGTGCATTCCACGGGGGGGTACGTCCAGTCCTCGAGAGCCCCTATCCAGCTTGATTTAGGTGTCCCCATCTCACGATGCGCACGAAGTATGAGGTGCTTTCAAATGAAGTCGGACACCTACATAAAACACTGAGTATCGCTTTACACACACACACACACACACACATATATATATATATATATACATATATATATATATATATATATATGTATAGATTTTTTTTTTGTCATTGACTGAGATGCCATTGTGCTTATCAACAGTGTGCACTTTGGTTTCATAGCGACATCTGTCTAGTTATTATTTTGACAGATGTGGTTTTTACACTTCCCCAGGAGTTATTGTTATCACTTTTTGGAACAAAAGTACTTTGTAACATTGGGAGGCGGGTGAGTATTTCAAAAAGCAGCATATTGCTCTCTTTCCAAGGTAAAACCCACTCTATTTGCCAGAATAAGGTGAAAAGAAATACACAGCAAAGACACTGAGGGAAAAAAAATCACTTTGATCCACTTCACTAACTCAACTACTAAGAGTTCACTGATATTCAAAGTTCTTTAAGGAATGAAAGGGATTTTTTTCTTAATTAGCATTATGTTATTGTGATGGCCTCGTACATACTGACGTTTTTGGTTTTCTTTAAAGGTCAAAACCAAAGAGGCGACGGTTGCTGAGAGGAAAGAGAAGAAGGAAGCATTCCAAGCCCCACCTCCTGTCATCATGTTCTCCGGGGTCGGCTGGAACACCTCCAAGGGTCTCCGAAGGCAAAAGCGAGACTGGGTGATCCCACCAATCAACGTTGCTGAAAATTCTCGAGGACCGTTCCCTCAGATGCTCGTTAGTGTAAGTGTGATTCATCGTAAAATGACAAGGGAGGGTTCTTTACACCCCTTACTGAGTGGTGTGCAGAATATACACAAAGCAAGGGTGACCTGGAATGGTGAAAAGCGCAAAGGTGTTATTCACCAGTCTGGTGAGAGAAGTTCTCTCAGACGTCGAGCAGACTTCAAAGTAGCAACAAAACACAACCAATGAAAGATTCTGCGTTTGCAATGGAACAAATGATTATTTCTACTTTGTTAAGCTTTCATGGTTTTCTTCATCAGGCCTTTTCAGAAGGCTTTACCGAGTGTTCTTTTTAGACCACTACTTCAACGTGACAAAACTCATGAATAAAAGCTAATCAACATACCCATCGAGCAACAGCTCATGGTTATTTTCAAACAAAAATTCTTTTCAATCGGAATGCAGCACTCGCATTTTATGGGGTGGTACATAGCAATGTTTCACAAATTGTAAAGCAATTCCGAGGCCCAGGCCAGGCAAATGAACAAAAGTGAAAAGAAGATGGATGCAAATATGCTATGTGGTATGAGTTTAAGATGCAAAGGTTCAAGATGTGTCTCTCTCATAGCGCTCTCCACGCTTGTGGTGTAATTCTTCAAAAAGATGTCATACTGAAAGAGAGTTGTTTCATCCCTATCTCCCTCTTTGCGTTTTCTTGGAATATTTTCTGAAATATTTTGTCATCAGCTTTTCCCTCAGTCTGCACAAAAAAAAAATTCCCACTTCATCTCTTTTGTCCCTTAAAAGAGTTTTGCATGCTGTCTTTATGTTTTTTTCTTTTGGAATCTGTTCTTTGTTTTTCAATAAGAGTTTTATCCAGCCACTAGGGAACAGCGGCAGGAGGGGCTTTTTTTTTCTTTCCCATCCCTGTAGATTGAGAGAAAAAAATACAAAAGACAACATTCATCATCAAGGAATGCGTTTGTTAAACTTTCTTTTTTTAATAAGAGCGTCTGCCCCGTTACTCAGTGGTGTCTGAAATTGCAAAGCACATCAGTGTTATGAGACTAGCTACAAAAAAAAAAAGCACAGCTTTCATTTGAACATCGTCCAGTCTTTGCTGCAAATAGGTCCATTGGGGCCTGGTGGCTTGGTGAGAAGAAAGGCAAAGTGATGCATTTTGGTGCTTCTGTTGAGCGTCGAACTTCAATGATAACTGCAGGGCAGCCACGGCCCGACTGAAAGGCGAGAGGCCCTAACAAGGAGACAGCTCTGGGAAGTGGATGTTATTGGGATCATTTTACTTCACTTACTGTTCATTTGTTTGCTCTGCTTCGGTCCTCCGGTTGAGAATTGATGTTGATCTGGTTTTCCTGTTAAACTACCAAGAAGTCTTTACTAAGACGACACTCACTCGTACGTATGATGCAAATGACTAGGAGACCTGGTTGTGCATCTTTTTGTGTCTCATCTCCTGTGCCTACCTGGAGCTCCGCCATCCCTCAGTGTTGCCTTCCCTAATGGCCTGTGAAGTCACTCTCCTCCCTAATGGGCCATTCTGCCATCCAGCGCAGCGCTGAGTGACATGCAGACAGTCGCCCTCCCACCGCTTCTCGCCTTCTTCAGACCTCATCCCAGTTGCCATCAGCTGGGCAGGCATGGTGTCAGTAGCTCACCTACATTTCAGCTACAGCAGCACTTTGGTCAGGCCAGGTGTCAGGACCCCACTGACTGGCCTGTAAACTCTCAGCCTAACGTGGCTCCAGGGCAAATATGTCTTCATGTGTAGCGTTGAAAGTCTTGAAAAAGAGCTGAGATTGTGTCAGAGCTCAGTAAGAGGTTATTATTTCTCCCCCCCACCCCAACCACCATTCATAGCACAGCTGGAATTGTTGCCCTGGCATGTCAGCATTTTCCAAATTATATCATGCTGAAGTCAGCAGGATTGTTTCTGCTGCTTTGTATTTGACGTGTTTTGACCTCTTGTAATTTTTTTTCTTCAAATTCTTAACTATCGAAATCAGGCAGACTTCCATTCAAAAGCCTGGGGCCATAATGGCCGATTCCTTTATATATCATAAAACATCACTATTTGAGCTTCAATTTCCATTTTTTTTTTTTTTTTGTCAACTGTCTCTGACACACGTAACACTTTTTTAATTCTACGGCTGACTGGTGTATGGCTCAGGTGTGTCCTATTTCATAATATTGATTGTTTTTAAACGCCAAATCGCGCATTTTCAGATTTGGGGTTTGCCTCGGAAGCCTACATTGGATACTAATTCGAGGTGTAAGCAACATCAAAATTTTGAGTTATCTATGCATGAAAAACAAGAAAGTGTAAAGCTGGGAATAGATGTTTACGTCAATCAGTGCCTATTGCACAAGTATTGGTCTCATCGTTGAATGTCCTGAGAGAGTATAAATCACTCGCATACTAAGTAACCGTGGTCACAAATGGTAAAATTGGTATGAATGCAGGAGGAATAGGAAAGCCAGGCTTGCCCAAAAAAGAGACAAGCCTTTATAAAAAAAAAAAAAATGAATGCCAAACCTTTACCATCGTTATGGCTAAAGCGTTCCAGAAAGGAAGGCTCAGCTCTTGATCCCCAACATACAAGCTCCTTGTATGAAACTAAAGGTAATGCCATGCCGAGGGCTTCCCTGGCCTCATCTGGGATGGACTCACTAATCTCTACTGATGTACAGTAAATGCCTGAGCTGAAGTGATGATCTTGTCTATTATTCATCCTTTGAAGACAAAAACTAAATGCTTTCAGTCTGCGGGTAGTGGACGTACTCTTTTAAAAGAAAAGAAAGAAAATTCTCGAAAGTTATTCACGGTTTGTATCACACGCGTTGTGATCCTCTTGTCCTTTTGAGACAAACTATTCATTTTCTCCTTGCCTTTTGCAAGCGCTTTTTTTTTTGTGTGTGTGTGTTTTATCCCGTTTTGTTGACCAGCGTCATTATTTGGACTTTTTTGCCTCGCCCCATTTTTCTGTAAATAAATATTTTTTTGTTGCAATAATTCATCTGAGTCTACATTTGTAGAGTCCAATTCTATCTGGAACCTTCCAGACATCATGACACCACTCTGGTCGCTGTCATGCACATCTTTTAGACCACATCCTCGCCAAGAGGTCTCGGTCTGTTTGTTTGAAGTACAACAAGATTCGGACAGTGATGTTCATGATTGCCCAAATGGACCACACATTTAGAGAAATCCAGAAATCCATTTATATATTTTTTTTATTAATCAAAGCAAACCTGTCAAACGTGAAGCTGTGCAAACATTCAAGCACAAGACAAGTCAAGCAACACTGGTCACCTGTGACATGATCTGACTCATGTCAAGTCAGAATGATTTGTTGTTGTTCTACTTGATTTTTCATCAGTGAAAGCAAGTGGAAAATATATCAACACAGAACTGGCAATTGCGAGGTGAGGAAGTGTTGGCGGAGTGTGTAGACTGTGGGCGGGGGACAATTTAACAATATGAGATTTTGTTGTTTTTTTGTGTGTGTGTGTGTGTGTGTGTGTGTGTGTGTGTGTGTGTGTGTGTGTGGTGCTATAAAGCTGACTGAAAATGAAAAACTTTGTGAAGCCTTCCATTGATTCACAAGCTGCTTCTTATCTTAGGTGAAAGTAAATAAAGCAATCTGACAACACCTCTCACCTTTTATCTTCAAAACCGTGGTCCTTTTTTTACTGAGAAAAAAGTCTGTAAAAAAAAAGGAAAAAAATAACAAGAAAACATGCCTCAACAATTTGATCAAGCTGTTCGACAGTGTACAAAAACATTAGCGTCTAGAAAAACACACTTTTATTGTGCCATTTATTTTGAGCGTTCGTTGGACATGGTTTGGCCTGTCACAATGAGCAGGGGCAAGTGAGTTTGTGCCACGGAAATGGAATTTAATCAGTGTGCTCAGTAAACCATGTGTAAACTCAATTTTCCTTGTCCTATACTTTCTCATTTTCTCCCAATCTGTTTGTAATTGTTCACACAATGAATAATGTGTTTCCTCACACTCACAAGCCTTTGTCTACTTTTTAATTCTCAATACTGTTAATATGCTTCTTCGTATTTGCCTTTGAGTTTAAGGGAAAGACATTTCAGCGTTGTAACTGGCTTCAATTTCAGATGAACATGAAATTCAATCAATCAATAAACACGAGGACTGCAGGACAATGCATTTGACAGAAACACTCTAGCAATAAATTATTGTATTTTTTTTTTTTTTTTTTTACATCTTTAGGTTATTTTGTCTGACAATAATGTGCACGTAATTTAGTGGTAACTGACCGTCTTAATGAAAGCTCAAATTATTAAAGTCTGATATGATTCACATCGACTAAAATGTGTCCATTTTCAATTCTAATATGGATAAAATAATGATTGTGTGTATTATCATTCGCTTTCCGATGATCACACTGTGTGAATGAGCTAAGCTCATGCATTAAGCATGCGACGTCAACTCTTCATTCACGGGACTTGAACACACAGTTTTCATCTTTTTAACTCTAAACGACACCACGCTGGATTTCAAATTAAACAAGATGTGCTTTAATTACAGACTTTCAAGAATATTTATAATTGTTATGTGGTCTATAGGCCTCCCAGTTTGTGATATAGCTTGTTGCTGTGTGGCTTTATGCTGTGTAGTGGCTTCTAGTTGTGTAACATTTATTCTTTACTTGCCCAGTACTAAGAGAGAGCGGCAAGTCTTTGAACGATTGGCCTTGACCTTTTTGGCCTTCAAATTAAAAGGCTCAGCGTAACCGCTGATGATGAAAACTTAAATACATTGCATTGGTTAATTGTCACTGGCCAATGTTATACGCAACTCAACTCAACTCAACTGTATTTAGAGAGCACTTTCAAACAGCCATCGCTGCATACAAAGTGCTGTACATGGAGCAATTTAACATGTACAACAAACAGTAATAGTCCAATCGGCCTGCAATGCAGACTCTGAGCAAACTTGTGACTCCTGTATGAGATCTAGTGTGGGTTGCAATGCATTGGGTAAAGTTTATTGTGCTTGTGGCAG